GCCTGCTGAAGTTCCCAGGTCACCCTTGTACCCAGCTAGATCTCTGGCTGTGGAAATTCCTGCCCCAAATGCCACGTTAGCCTCTGGATCTGTGGCACGGCTGTTGGAGGGCACTGCTCAGCAGAGAGGTCTGGTCTGAAGGGACCAGTTCAGGAGCCTTTCAGTGGCAGTGCCACTGGCTGTGGCAGGTGGGTGCTGGGTGTACCAAAGGGCCCCATAGATGCATTCACCTCTGGAGGAGCACCACATGCACATGCTTTAGGGTGAAAGCCCTTTGGGTAGAGGAGACCAGTGGTGGTAGCAAAGAAAACCAGATGTGGTGGGTTATTTCCATTTGCTGTCTGCTCAGTGACTGTCTCTTCATAACTTTGTTTTTTCCATAACAGTGTTGTATGATCTTTGTTTCTGAGGTTGTAAATAGCTTGAGATGAGGCTTGGGTTTCTTTCTTTTATGAAGGAATGAGCACAGCTTTGGGTGTTTGAATTATTTTTATCACATTGCTTTTTCCTTAAAAGAAGAAGCAAAAGCATCTAAATCTTCCACCTTACCTTGGGAAGCCTTAGGAACAATCTAGTGATTCCTGTATTATTTTTGAAACTCCCCAACTTTAGCACTATCATTCTTGTTAGTGCTAAAGGAAAATCTTCAGTAGTTCCTCAGTGCTTCATTCCTAGATGCTGCAGAGATCTGTGAGCACAAAGTCGTTACTGAGTTAGTGACAGGGAGGTTACAGGGCTGTGTTTATGCATCCAGATGTGCCTCTGGAGGGGGCCCAGAGCTGCAGCTCTCTTCAGGCTTCCAGTGCAGCTGGGACCACCCATGTCAGAGACTGCAAAAGCAGTTATCAGAACAGGTTTTTTCTCCTGTGGATGCTGCCCAGAGGAGCAACACTCAGGTTCTGGTCCCAGCCGGGCAGCAAAGGCTGGTTTGCATCCGACGGATGTCGTGTGGCGAGGGAGGGAAACATCTGGGCAGCCAAGTGGGTTTTACTGCTTTGCTGTATATTCTGCACATACTCGTGTCCTACCTGTGGGTGGTTGATTAGTAACTGCCTTGTTTCTCTTTCAGTGATAAAGTTCAGTCTCTTTCCTATGCCCACCACACTCGGCAGCTCATCTCCTGCGGCGCGGATGGGGGAATCGTCGTCTGGAATATGGATGTTGAGAGGCAGGAGGTAGGTGCTTTGTTCTTCTCAATTTGGTCTGAAAACGGTCTTGGGAAGAAGGGACCTTTCTAAAACGTGCAACTTTCAACCTGAACAAGATCATTCCTGGCTTTAAAAACGTTTCTGGGCACGCTCCAGTTGTTATAGAGCAATTATGTCATGCCTTTGATAATATGGTACGGGGGAAACCGGCTGGCAGAAAATGGATGTTAAGTAGGCTGCTAAATGACTCTTACCCTTTACTGCTCCAAAAGACATCCTCTGAGGGAGGGTATTGTGAGATGGGTTCTGTTTCTCACCACATCAGGCAGTATCCCCATGGTGGGTAGGTGTGAGCAGGGCTCTTGGCAGCGTGGCACATCACCAGCTCTGCTGGTGTTCCCAGGGGGCTTGGCCTCCCTCGGCCGTGTGCGTCTCCCTGGAGCAAGGAGGAAAGCTAAGTGGAAAATTGGATTAAAAAAACCCTACTGAAACAGGGCAAGACAGGAACTGAGCTCTCTTTTTGATGTGAATTAGCATTCCAGTTGGCTCTCTTTAATTGCTAATCTAATGGCCAATTATGTCATCAGCTCCAAAAGTGAAAGGAAAGCAGAGCGGCTTCCTCCTTCCCAACAGATGTTTCCCTTTTGCTGCAACTGGAACAGCCAGAAATGAAACTCTTTATTTATTTGCTGCTTTTGAAAGGCTACAGTACTGGATAAGAACAGGGGGCAGTGCTGTCAGAAGGCTGGCTTAAAAACTAGAGGAGAAATATGGTGAGCTAAGGGAGGGTTTAGCAGTAGGTGCTCATGGGCACGCTGCTTTCTCTGAGTGTGGCTGTGTGAGCTCCTTCATGTTATCTGTAGTGCAATGGGGTGTTCATGGTGCTAAACTAACCCTGAAACACAAACCTCTGAGATTTTAATACCAGAGTTCTGTTTGGTCTCCTAGAGGATTTACTTGTGGATTTTGGCTTTGGTATTTTTGCCCTTTCTTAAGGATTTTCTCCATGGGATGAGTGCTCAGTACTTGCTTCCATGCTATTGGATTTTCCCCCTTTAAAGTGAATTGAGCCATTTTAGACCTTGGTTCTTTATTTCAATTTTTAAAAAGCTGCAGTGAGGCAACATCTGAAGGTTGCTAGAAGCTGTGTTTCTGTTTGACTACAAAGCAGTTACCTGTCACAAACAAGATGTCTTCTTTATCTACAGTGCTCAGATGTTTAAGAGATTACAACTAATACATACAGCTGTAAATCTGTAGGCATTAGACAGAAAGACTGTTGTGGGTAGGAAAGACAAGGATTTGCCCCAGCAGAATGAGCAGCCTTCAGAGTAACTGTTACAAGAGGTTGAAGCAGGCAGCTGCTTTATTGCTGGGGATCAAAGCTGTCCTTGGAGCTGAGGGTCTCCACCAGCCTAACCTTATCTTTGCCTGGCTTTTCTATTATTTTTAATTCTTAGTCTCAGCTGTGTTTCTTGGCATTTTAAATTGCAGCCTGTGAGAAGCCAGTGGCTCTGATAAGACAGCTGCAGTTTGCTAATATCACTTCCTCACAAACTATTAAACATAATTTAGTCTCAAGGGCTTGGTGGGGCTGGTGGGAGTATGTTGCAGTGGTGCTGAGGCAGTGCTGTCCTGCTCTGGCTGGGGACAGGATGAACCCACAGCTCAGTGCAAGACAAGTGTCAAGGGACTGAACTGTAGAGGAGAGATCAACTGCCCCCTCCACATGCCCCCCACCACTTCAGGCATTTCCTGAGCTCCTGCAGGATCTGGCAGACCTGCTTCCCCACAGGGTGTCTGGTCTGTGCTACTCTGCACAGGAGAACCTGGCTGCAGGAGAGAGAAGTGCCTCAACTATTTTATTTTCTTTAAATCTTCTTACCTGCTTCATCCACAGCATGAGTGCAAACAGAAGACCTTCCTTCCACCAGCTCTGTGTGAAAGCAGGGAAGAGAGCTGGTTTGGGTTTTAGTGTTGTTCAGGTGAATCTCATCTTTCTCACCTCTAAATATGTTTTGTAGCACAGATTTTTTTTTGCCTCTTGCAGGACTGAAAAAAGAAAGAAATAACAAAAGCTCCAACACATCAATGTTTTAGATACCTTCCCCTTCCCTCCAGATGAGTAGCTTGACTGTTGGAAATACTAATTGCCCCCAGCAGAGGCAATATCAGATGGTAAATGCTGTCCAGACAAGACAGAATGTCTTTCTTTATATGCTTAATTCCAGACTTGGAAAGGAGGGGGAGGGAGCCTTGTTTGTTCCTGGGTTATTTTTATGGTCTTACCATCAAGCTCTGCCTCATGATTTGGGTGAGGAGTGTCCCTCTTGTGTCCTTCAAGGCTCAGAGCTGAGCCTAGAAAGACATCCCAGGGAGCAGCCAAAATGGCATCCTGTGAAAGGGTGGATTGCTAATGGGGTTTGGTTGGCCACGTTACCACAGCCCTGGGCATCCTCCTTGTCCTGTCTCCAGGCTTCACAGGAAGCTTCCCTGCTGCTTACTCCCACTTTGTGTCTGTGTGTTGCAGACCCCCGAGTGGCTGGATAGTGACTCCTGTCAGAAATGTGACCAGCCTTTCTTCTGGAACTTCAAGCAAATGTGGGACAGTAAGAAAATAGGTCTCAGGCAGGTTTGTATGTGTTCTTTGGTGTATTAACGTGGTGCAATTAGGCTTTGCTCTCATAACAGATCATGATGAGCCTTTTTCCTCCTAAAGCTGTGAGAACTTGCAGTTTGTTATTCCACTGAGTGCTCGAGGTGGCTCCCTCCTGAGCAGGCTCAGTTTCGTGTGGTCAACAGGAACACACTTCTTTTTCCTTACATTGTTTTTCTTCTTTCTGCCTTTCCCCAGCCTAGCCAGTCCTAAAAGTAAAAGCATGTAATAGATCTTGGGCTGAGTAAATTGGTCTGGGGCCTTCCATGGCTTTAGCCTTGTGGGATTTTGCTTATTATTAGCTGAATATGTTGTAGAAAGAAATTTGCAGCTGATTTTTGCAGACCCTGCTGGTACCAAAGCTTTTTTCCCTGAGATGGGGGTGAAGATCTGTAACTGCCCAGGCTGTGTTGGAATGGCTTCCTGGTAAAAAATGCCTGGCAGGAGGGGGCTGCAGATCCCAGACTTTTGGGAGAGGGGTATAAAAATGCTGAAAGGGATGTTTTCATGGAGGTTGGAGAAGTTCATGTGTCTGGGGCAGAGCTGAGCTGCACCTTCTCTTGATGTAGCACCACAGAGCCTGTCTCTCCTGCAGCCAGTGGGGCAGCCGTGTGCTCCCACACAGCCACTGTATGAGAGAACCTGAGACAGGTAGCACCAAGATGTGGGAACTCTAGTGCTGCTGGGGCTGAAGATGGCCAGAGGAGTTAACTGAGATGATGAAGTGGCAGGTGTTGATACTTTCAGAGGCTGGGGTGGGACTCCAGAATGACACTGTGCCAACGTAACCCTGTCCTGACTCGACCTGAAGGTGCCTGAACGTGCCACACGCTGCGGAGTGCTGGCCTCGGTCCCTGGGACTTGTAGGGACAGTATATAGCTCCCAGCCCCGTGGCAGATGCCTGCCTGGCTTTGACAGGTCTTTTGGGGTGCCTGGGAGGGCTCCTCGTCCTGCCCTGCTGTCTAACTGTGGGCTGTCCCCACAGCACCACTGCCGGAAGTGCGGCAAGGCCGTCTGCGGGAAGTGCAGCTCCAAGCGCTCCTCCATCCCCCTCATGGGCTTCGAGTTCGAAGTGAGGGTCTGTGACAGCTGCCACCAGTCCATAACCGACCAGGAGTGAGTGTGGGCGTGGGGCTGGG